TTTACATGACGCACATTACATTCAGAATAATCGTGGAATATGATTAAGCATTTAAACGTAGTCACTGTTTACGACATTTAATTGTCATATTAATTGACAATGAAAAGATGTAATGATCACAAGAAACCCGTTTCTCATCACACGTCTGTACTTAATCTATAAATACGTTTTTAAATTCTCTCTCCAGGAAGTGAAGTCGTTCCGCTGGAAGCTGCGTCTCTTCCTGTTTAACGTCGGCTGCTGTCTGGCTGCCGTGTACTTCTTCACACGCCACAACAAGTTCTGTGAGACCGGAGGTGAGCATTCAGGATCAGCTGTTGTTTGTTGACGTGGGGGGGGGGATGATGACTCACTGGTGATGACTCACTGGTGCTCTCTGTGCTCTCCAGTCTACACCCTGTTCGCCCTCTGTGAATACCTGGTGGTCTTCTCCAACATGGCCTTCCACATGACGGCCTTCTGGGACTTCGGGAGCAAAGAGGTGATCGTGGCCACGCCCCCCGAGGACAAGCGTTACTGAGCGGCGACCTCACCTGTGGACAGGTGACAGGATCTCTAAAAACTTTATTTAACATAAGCAGCGTCATGAACATTGTTGATGTGTCAGTGCTGCAGGTGAGATTAAACTTTTTTTATCATTCCAAAGACACCAATGTCGTGTTTTTTATAATCATCAGCAGCGATACCAACATGTTTCATCCTCTACTTGCTGTTTAAAACTTCGACTTTACAGAGAAGTGGACGTAGTCGTCGCCCGTTGGTTTGTGGACTGGAGTTTTGATGACCAGTGAACAGGAAGTGACCATATCTGGACTGAGGAGGAGTGACATAGAGACGCCGTATACGTCTCTGTTAGAGACCTGTCAATCACTGTGTAGCCCCGCCCTAAAGCATCCCCTGCTTTATGGTCTGTTTGACACTAAATGGACCATAAGTTACAAAATGAACATCATGCTGTATTGAAGAAGACTTGAAACTAGAGATTGAGACCATAAACTCATGTTTACAATGTATGAGGTAATAAATCAAGAGAGAAGTAGTCATTTTCTCATAGACTTCTATTAGCTTGATTTATTCTCAAAATGTCAAAAATATATATTATTTATTTTGCACTAATCCTGAAAATTCTAACATTATTCTCGATATTTTGACATCATTCTTGAAATGCAAAATAAATAAAAATATATCTTTATTTTTTTTTTTGTCATTATGTCTGGCACTGCTAGTCTTCCGTAAAAATATCAAAATTCAACTAAAACGAATCTACATTTTCCTCAAAGGACTGAAACTAAATCATAATTTGGTGCCAACATGAACTCTGCAGTGAAGTGAAGATGTTTTTAAAGCTCCTGTTAATAACAAACATAACACTTCCTGATTGTGTTTCATAATAAGTGCATTTGAACATGAAGGTCTTATATTGTGAAACAACCAAA